GGCTCAGGTCATGATCTCGAGCTTCATGAGTTCAGGCCCCACATCGGTCTCTGTGCTGACAGCTCAGAGTCTGGATCCTGCTTTGGGTTCTCTCTCTCTCAAAAATAAATAAACATTAAAAATTTTTAAAAAATTAAACTTCTTTTGTATTATATATAAACTTATTGGTGCTTTATAACTTTCCTAGAAAAAGCTAGGTTTGCTATATCTAATAACTTTCGTTTGTTCTCATTTTCTCAGGTCTTTTATTATTTTCTCAATGATCAGTTTGAGAAAATATAAATTACCGTGTATGTTTTCATTGTCTAACATTTAATTTTATAGCAACATCTCCATAGCTTTTGATTTCTGGTCTACAGAAATAATTTATTTCTTTATTATTTTCTTATTTTCTTAATGTTTATTTACTTTTTAGAGAGACAGAGAAAGAGAGACAGAGACAGAGAGAGACAAAGCATGAGCAGGGGAGGGGCAGAGAGAGAGAGGGAGACACAGAATCCAAAGAAGGCTTCAGGCTCAAAGCTGTCATCACAAAGCCTGAAGCAGGGCTCTGAGTCACATATCTTGAGATCTTGGCCTGAGCCGAAGTTGATGCTTAACCACCTGAAACACCCAGGCGGCCCAGGAACTAATATATTTAAATGTTAAATGGTAGCTGCATGACCTAAGCTTATCTATGGTTAGGACTGGGATATGGGGCTTGTTACCGTGTTAAGGAAATCATCACCAGCTGATGGAACTGGTGTCTTGGCTGTGACTATCTCTTCTCTGAACTCTGATTAACAATTCTAATCAGTTTTGGAAAGTTGAACATCCATCTGTTTTCTGAAGATTTCATGTATATTAACTTTAGTTACATATAACTGTATGTATCACTATATATGACACTCTATAATCAGGAATATGATACCACACACTGCAAGAAAATGAGTTCTCTTAACTAAACAGGATATGAATATGAGAGAATAAAAAGCTAATCTCCAGAATGGTGCTTCTTCTCCTCTGTCACCCATTAAAAAAAAAAAAAATAGTCACCTACATCATGTACAAGATTGTTAGTTTAAACAGCTCCTTCAGAAACTTCACAGAAGCTTTGACTCCATCCTGTGTCATTCTGCTTACCACACTATTTTAATTACCTGTCTTGCTGATGGAAGAGGCAGGCACTGGAGTGTGGTGTGAGATTGAGAAAACCAACGTTGCGACTTATCTTCATAATGGTGCTACTTAAAACCCTACCAGCTTTTAAACATCCATCCTATTGCTGTCATATAAAGATGTTGAGGGCCAGGCAGAGACTCTTCTTTTCTTTTCCAATTACGGTGAACTGGTCAAGAGGCCAAAGAATAGATTTTTCACTAATCTTTTTTCAGACTTAGCTCTTCTTGATCTGTAGAAATCTGTTTAACCGATGGTTATTCTCTGCCTTTGTCTATACTCAGTTCCAAACTACAGGAAAAAAGACACTACTCACCAATCCTTCCTCCTTCCCTCTCCCTAACTCTAGGAACTTGGTGTCTAAAGTCATATTGTAGGATTTTGAATCCCTGACTCCCACCCTTTTCCTGTATTCCTTGACTGTTCAATGTAGGATAATTTAGTGGCAGTGTCATAAGGGGCCTAATTTAAAAGTGTAAGCATTTTGCAAGGAAACAATGACAGCTAGTGTTGTACCTCAGTCATAGGAACAGAAGAGGTATTCCTTTTCCTAAACCTGAAAGGAAGAGGAGAAAAATTAGTTTCTGGAAGTAGGAAGGAGAAAGCTGTGTAGACAGGGCCACATTCAGAGGATCTATGACATTTTGTTGAGGAACATAGCCAGTGTGAGACAACATGTGAGGACGGAATAAAACCTGGCCTCACTCTGGCCCCTGCCTCTGGTCTCCTGCCAGGTTCTCCTATTGGCTAACCCCACCTTGAAGCTTGTCCATACAGGGTAGTTTCCTATAGCAGAAAAAAGGTAGAAAGAATGGGGAGTGGATTTGGAGGGACACACGAAAGCTGTCTGAAACAGGAAATGATCTAGGTTTCCACATCTGTAAAGTGGGACTAATTATAGTGCCCACTCTAGAGTGTACTGAGAATTAAGTAAAATACTGAGTGTGCAAGAGAGTTCCTTGTGCAAAGCAAGCACTGAATACACATTAACTATCATTGTTATACATTGGGAATAATTTACTAAATGGATTGAGATGGCCAAAATAGTTGGTTGGAACATACTGCATTTTTTCAAACCTGTTCTGTTTTATTATGGATTTAAATATCTGAAGTAATTCAAAACAATTTCTGACATAGAATTAGAACTATTATAATTTACATAGTGTATTAGGATTGAGTCCTTGAAGAGCATCTTCAAACCAAGCTCCTTCCATCCTTTTACCTCATCCATCGTCAAGCTCTGTCTATTTCATCTTTGTTCCCACCTTGACTTAATTCAAGCCCCCACCATCTCTCCCTTGGATGATTACACCAACTTCTAAATTGACCAACTGACCCTTAGGCTTCCCACTCCCCAGTCTATTTCTATAGCAGTGATCCTTTTAAATTGGGCCTTGGACTAAACTTATACCCCTCAGTAGATGTCCAAGTTGCTCCATGATCTGCATTCTGACTGTCTCTTCTGGCCCATCTCTGGCTATGTGCTTATCGCACTACTTCATCAGCAACAAAGTACAGTCTTTATAGTCCTCCAGTACATCATCCTGTTCCAGTGCTTCTCATAATGTGGTCCCAGGCCGACAGTATCAGAATCAACTACAAATCATTAGAACAGTGAATTCTTGGGCTTTATCTTTAACCTATTTAACCAGGAAATCTGGGGCTGGGGTTCAAAAATTTATCTTTTAACAAACTTTCCTGGTCATTCTAGGGCACATTCAATTTTGAGATCCCCATTGCTATGCCATTTCATCTTGTGTCGTGCTGGTAACCTCTTCCTGGAAAGGCCATTCTACTTTATTTCCAAGACTCATTGTAAGCAGCAAACACTCCAAGATTGACTTGCTGACTAGTTGTAACAAATTAACTTTAGTTGCTCTGAATCTAAATAACTGTTTATTTATATGACTACCATGTTTGAAAGGAATGAAACTGACTCTTATGGTAATTTTTGGGAGAAGTTTTTCTACAAACATTTATTCAGAAAGGTTGATGCATTTGTTAAGAAAAAGGAGGAAACTTTTATGTAATCAGATTTCTCCTGAAAATGTGCCAGACAATGATGAATAACTACTTCTTCTCCTACTAATAACAGTTAATGACTTGACTCTATTTAATGGGCTTCATTTTATAGATGAAGAAACCAAAGCTCAAAGGGTTTATGTAACTTGTTCAGGATTACAAATCTAGTATATAGCAGAGCCAGGATTGGAACTCAGGTCTGCCTGACCTCCAAGATCAGATACTTAAACATCATATTGTCTTTGAAGCACAGAGAAAGAAATAGCCTCTATTTTTTCTCTCAAGAAATCTCTTTTAATTCAAGCAAAGAACAGAGAGAAAGGGGAATGTTTTTGTTTTGTAGGCAATGATGTATAATTTCAATTAGTCACTAGGCAAATGGAAGACTTGTTATGACGTGGTCCAGTGTCAGTTCTTTCCCACAGAGTCATTTCTTTCACACTGATTAGGTATAAGGTTTGCTACAAACAAGATTTAAAATACCTGTAATAGGTTTTATTTATGAATTATCCTTGCGTACATTGATAAGGAATCAAGGTTATCTATATAGTAATGTTTCTCCCAGATTTTTGGTTTTCATTGTGCTTTTGTAAAGGGAGGAGGGAAAGGTTGGCAATATAGACTTTGGGCAAGGAATTGTGCAAAAATCACAATCTATTTTGTGGGAATGAGAGAGCATCCTCCATCATGTATATTCCAGCAAGAGAAAAATGTCATGTGTACTTTATGGAACTGGTGAGTGTATGATGGAGTGGGGATAGGGGGTATCAGGACTCCTGAGAAAGCCTTTCCTAATTTGATCTCTCACTAAAGGTAGGGAGGTTCTCTGATAGTAGATTCTCTGGCACAGAAATGGCAGGATTCAACCTTTTGGATCATGGGCCTTAGACACAACTAGGAGAGAAAATGATCTACCGCACTTACAAAATCACCACTTTAAAGTGTCACTACTTCCCTTCTTTCTAAATTAAGATGTCCCCCATTGTCAGTGCTCTAGCCTAGATTTTAATTTGCAAGCATTGTTAGCTCATTTGCAACTCTAATCTCAATAAAGTAAGAGATATTATTCATTTTATGGATCACATTAATGATAAGTACCAGCATATTCAATAAAGTATACAATTACCATGCCATTAGCTATTTTACTAAAGAAATTTCATTATGACACTTCTTTGGAAAACATGACTATTATGGTCTTTTCCTTATGTACTGGAAAATTGTGTCCTAAAAAAGTGAGCCTCAGAAATCTCCATTAGTTTTCCTGTATGTACTTCACATAGACTACCCTAATGATTCGTTTTATATGTTTTATTTAATCGTCTAAATTTCATCCTTATAGGAGTAATGGGACCAATCAAATGAAATTGTTACTGTAATAAAAGAAGGTGGATAGTGTTCAAGTTAGTATCCCTTAAGGCATTTGAATATACTTGATCGGTTGAGGGGAACAATTTGTAAATAAGACTAAGGAAATGGAATTAAAGATGGAGAGACATTGGATTACAAAGAAGACAATGATTATGGTGAAGATGGAAAGTTTAATTACTGTAATTACCCTACAGAGATATTTTTAATAATAAAAATCCCCGATGTTTTCAAAGTCACCTTCCTGTTTTGCCATTCCAGAGTTTCTTCAACTGAAGTCAAGTTCTTTCATACACTAAATTTCATTTCTTTTTGCTTTAATTAGAGCTTATGTTTTTCAAATGGGGTTCTCTGTGGACCTAAACAACTAATAAACTTCTCTACCTTTAAATTTCTCATATGCATACAGATAAAAATCACACTATCTCTCAGCCTTCTTCCTTTATCTTAATTACTTTACAGTGTATTCGTTCAATAGCCCAGAACCTGGAGCTGCACTGCCTTGCTTTAAATCATCGTTCCCCATTTGACTGGGGTCAAGGTACTTAGCCTCTGTGTACATCACTTTGTTCATCTGGAAAACGGGATAAGGTTATTATGAGGATTGAACTGCCAGTCTCTCTATATTTAAAATTTTTTAATGTTTATTGTTTATTTTTGAGACAGAGAGAGACAGAACACAAGTGGGGGGGGGGCAGAGAGAGAGGGAGACACAGGATTCAAAGCAGGATCCAGGCTCTGTGCTGATGCAGGGCTCGAACCCACAAACCACAAGATCATGACCAGAGCCGAAGTCAGACGCTTAACCAACTGAGCCACTCAGCTACCCCAGACAGCAGGCTACACCAAACAGCCAATCTATATTAAATTCTTAGAGCAGTGTCTGGTATATATCAAGCACTACAAAGGTGTTTGGTATTATTATTATTTTTGTTATCACCTTTTTGAATCTCTCCAAGTGATTTTTAAAAATCTCTCAATTTTATTTTCAACAAAAATAGTTATGTCGACATGGTAAGGAGTTTGAACAACAAATAAATGCGTACAATTAAAAGCAAAGGCAACCACTGGTAATAATTTCTTAGATATTCCTCCAGTGCCTTACTGGACTGACTCTCTCCCTCTCTTTTTGTCTCTCTCTTTCCATGGAAAGACCAGAGCATGCACAATGCTTCTCATTGTCCCAAATGTAAAAATATGGTGATTAAAACTCAATACAGTACCCTTGTAGCCCAGCTAAAGTATTTAGGAATTTTGTATCATCATTTTTTAGATCTTATCAACTACTTTCCCTGTTGCACACTGGAGCTTTCTGTCTGGTCTCATAGTGCAGTGTCATATTGATGGCTACTGTGTGTGTAGACTATTGTCTGGTGAAGCCAGCCCTCATTTCCCTGATATCCTGGAGATGTTGAAATCTTCCTCGCTCTTCTTTTCCAATCCCTTAGTACATCCAGATTTCCTAAAAAGTTTTCCAGGGAGCAATGAAAACTGTCAATTCCTTCCATGACTGTTTTAAATACTGAATAATTGACCATCAGCATCTCCCACTTCTTCTCTAAGTAACTGAGAATTTGGAATTAGAAAGAAAAAGTGATAGGCTATCCGCCAAATTTTAATACTAAACACTTGACCCATTTTTTTATTCCTGAGGCATATTAGAAAATAGTGCATTTTTACACTTTAGCATACTGGATGCAGAAAAAAAGTTTTGAAGTGAGGCCAGCCTATGAAATTTCTTACAGACAACACTATATTTAAAACTTACAAGGATGCAGGCCCATAATTTCTGTATAATCAAAGGAAATAAGATATGTGTTATACAAACATTAAAAAGTTTCTTCATAATTCATGCTTTCTAGGCAGCAAGGGGAAGTTGGAGGTAAGTGCTCAGGAACCCTTGGGCATTGCTGTATGGATGTGGACATGACCTTTCTGGGGGGAATTTGGTTCCAGCATGTAAGAGAGAAGAAGGAAAGCCAATGTTTACCAACATTCCAGTAAGGGTGTTGATTGTGAGCAAAGATTGCTGGTGAAGATTTTCTACAGGGTGATGCAAGACTGGAGCATACAGAGGGTCCAGTGAGAGCACACCTACAGTGTGCCCATCTGCCAACTTCAAGGTCAGCACTGTGGGCAAGACCACATGACCCAGACATTCTTTTCATCTGCCCATGCTAACATAACGATCCCTTAAATTGGCTAACATTCTCTAACGTGGCAAAGGGAGAGAGGAATGAATATTCCAACCTACAATATTTTAGCACCTTTCCTCTGAGCCCAAATTACTTTTGAGAAAAAAGAAAAAAAGTCGTTTTCAGCATGAAAGCTCTATTGTTGCCACCCACCATAAGAAACCACTATACAGAGATTTTCAGTTTCTTTCACTGGAAAGATAACCTGCAAAACTACAAAGGGTGTTGCAGAGCTAAAACACAAGAAGTAACAGCTTTCTGAATTCCAAAAATCTGAAACTGCAAAAATCTGCACGGGAAATGACGAACGCTGATGTATTACCTACAACAATAACAAAAGAAGGCTAGAGTCCATACATCTGCATTTTCTGTGGCTCTTTCTAACCACGGAGGCCAGTTTAATGAGTATGTACAGTTTGTGGTTCTTTGATAGAGGAATTGGAGGCTGAAGGAGGAAGAACAGGAGTAGGATGAGGGAGAAGGAAAAGGAAGGCAAGTACAGGAACAGACACAATAATAATGAGAGTGGGTATTGCTGAACCCCCCAAGTGGGTATTGCTGTGCTCTTGCAAGGCCTGATTCCACCCAACCCCCACCAGAGCCCTTTGAGATTGGTAGTGCTGCCATGCTCATTTTCCATATGAGAAGAGTAAGGCATTGAACACGTAAATTACTTGGGGCGCCTGGGTGGTTCAGTCAGTTAAGCATCCAACTCATGGTTTCAGCTCAGGTCATGATCTCATGCTTCATGGGTTCGAGCCCCACATCGGGCTTTGCGCTCACAGCGTGGAACCTGCTTGGGATTCCTTCTCTCTTCTCTCTTCTCCTGAGTGGGAGAGGGGCAGAGAGAGGGAGACACAGAATCTGAAGCAGGCTCCAGGCTCCGAGCTGTCAGCACAGAGCCAGGCACGGGGCTCAAACTCACGAACTGCGACATCATGACCTGAGCCGAAGTTGGATGCTTAATTGACTGAGCCACTCAGGCGCCCCATCGTGCTGTCTCTTTCTTAAAATAAATAAATAAACTTAAAAAAAAAACATTGAATATATAAATTACTGGTCTAGCCTCTTGATTGATATATTCAGAAACCAGAAAGAAAAGATGCCTTTATATTCAAGCTCTTGGTGATTTTTGATTCAGCTCTTTTTTGACTGTGGAATAACAGAAGTATCTCTGGACATGAAAGGAGCAAGAGTAGTCGTACACCACTAGGTCTTCCCTCCTATTTAGCTCCCATTTGCTCTGGATGTCCAGAAAGACAGCCTCTTCTCTTGCTGGCCATGGGTCAGTACAATGCTAAGATCTACAACTCCTGAAAAACTGAATTCTCCATTTATTAACTAAGCATGCACAATGTATAGATACAGTCTATTTGAAAGCACAGCTCTGATCTCGTAGAGAAATATCCTGTTAATCACCTAGGCAAAAATAGAGGCTTCAGAGGGTATTCTGTGATGGGTCAAAATTTTGACATGTAAGCCCACTGTTAAAAACTTTTACCTTTTATTTTCTTGCTCCCTCTTGCTCTTTTAAAACCAGCTCATAAAAATTTAGAATCAGGAAATGTTCTGCTAGTAGCTTCCTGCAAAAGTGGGAATAATCATCCCAAATAACAAATAATCACAAACATGCTATTCAGACAGAGCTGCAGGGTCGGATGATGGGAACTCCTATCAAGGCCAAGAACTGAATAAATTGCCTCTTGATCTCTCCACTGAGAATAAATTCATGTAAATCCGAGGAAGCTGAGCTGCTGCTAATCCACCATGTGTAGTGACTAATTTTATTAAGTGAAATACAAGAAAAGGAAAGATCCTTGCGGTAGAAATGTGCTCGAAGATGATTGCCTTGGCCTGAGCGCTGAGTTCTGTGGCAGTACCAAGTGAGCGCGGCCAATTAGGCTGCTCATCAGGCAGTGGCCAGGCACAGAGAGGAGGGGTGCTGAGCAAGGAAGCCTCGCGAGCGCAGGACCGCATCCACCCTGCGCGCATCGCAGGGGCAACCACCCTGCACGCATCGCCGGGAAAGTGAAAAACAACGACTGCTCTTGACTTTGAAGTAACCTTTCTCCCGAGAAAGGGTTGCCTGTACCTTAAAAAGTGCTGCCTTTCCTTGACTGAAATACTTAAAAGCCATTACCACTGAAAATTTGAGGTTTATAATTTCAGATGAATCAGTGTGCTAAGTTTTTTTTCTGTCAGGTTGCAAATGGAAAGCCTTTCTGGACCAAGCAATATAGATAAATAAGGCTGTCGAGGTGCTAGGGCCCATTGCTAACTTGATAGGCCCGTTGCTAATTCACTTTTCTTCCGAATGTGCCAGAATCTATTAAAAGCAAAACACATGCCTAGCCCTCATCTCAGCTGTTCTGTTCCTAAGTATCTGTCCAAGAGATATGACTGTTTATGTTTACTGAAAGTCATTTATAAGCAACTTTATAATTACCAAAATCTGGGAAGTAGCCCAAAGAAATCCAGCCATAGGAAAATGGATTATTAAAATATGGTATATTCATACAATGGAATATTACACAACCATAAAAAGGAATGAAGTACTGATACATTCAACAAATGAATGACTCTCACAGATTTATGCTGGTTTGAAAGAAAACATACAAAAGACTGCAGACCTTATTATTTGATTTATGTAAAGTTCAAGAACAAGCAAAACCAATACATGATGACAGAAGTCAGAATAATGGTTACTTCTTTGGGTGGGGTGTTATTTGGAAAGGGTTACAAGGAATCGTCTAGGGGGTTGAAAATATTCAGTATCTTGATCTGGGATAGATACGTGGATGTACACATTTGTAAAACTGCATCAAACTGAACATTTAATATTGGTTTTACTGTATGTATGCATTTTACTATTTTAGTCTATGTTTGTCATAATTCAATTCAAAGGTTAAAAATTACACCATGACAGGACAAAACAAAACAGTAACAAATAAAATAAAAGCTGTGCCAGTAAAATAAAATACTCTGAGCCACAATCTGGTCAATGACAATAACTTATGTCCTCAACTGATATTTCTAAGTCTCTTCCCACCACAGTTGAAGACTTAATGTCTTCTAACTTTTTAGCTCATGTTTCCCCTTTTGAGAAAAGAATTAGGACAACAAAAAAGTTGGTATCTATTTAATATTTACATCGAGGCTTCTATTCTTTAATTTTGGATGTTGTTTAATCTCCACATTTTTGTGAATTTTCCAGCTTTCTTTCTGTAACTGATTTCCAGTTTCATACCATTATGGTTTAAAAAGATGCTTGATATACTTTCAATCTTCTTAAATTTGTTAAGACTTACTTTGTGGCTTCACATATAATCTATCCTGGAGAATGCTCCATGTGCACTTGAGAAAAAATTGTATTCTGTTGCTTTTGGATGGAATGTTCTGTATATGTCTGTTAATTCCATCTGTTCTAATGAGCCTTTTACTCTTAATATAATTTTATGTTAACATTTTCTAGCACTGCCATAGCTCACATATTTATTACTTTATATGATAGCATTTTATTAATAGACTCTTTACTTAACTATTCTATTATTTTTCAGAACTTAGGATGTTTTCAATTTTGCATTCAGAATAAATGAATTCTCAGCTTATTTCTCTGAAGTAGGGCTATTCGGAGGAAGGCCACGTGGATTTTCAGAGCCTGTTCTAATGCCATATTACTTTTATTTCTTATTTTTTTATTAAAAAAATTTTTAATCTTTATTTATTTTTGAGAAAGAAAGAGAGAAGTGGAGGGGCAGAGAGTGAGGGAGATACAGAATCTGAAGCAAGCTCAAGACTCTAAGTTCATGGCTTGAGCTGAAGTCAGACACTAAACTGACTGAGCCACCCAGGTGCCCTATGCCATATTACTTTTAAAGGGCTGGCATTATTCATTGTCAAATGATATTTATAAGACTACCTATCTGTTATATCTTCACCAACACTAAGGTTTGTTAAAAATAATTTTTTAAAAATCAAAGTACAATGCCTCTAAAATTATTTAATGGAGTTAATTTTTTGTTTTTTAGAATGGTGGCAGATTTCCCAAATACTAGCTAACCTCCTGTATTTCTCCATTTGTGTATTATTTTTGATCACTTATTAAACAGAATCTGTATACTGACCATATCTATTAGTCTCAGTTTTCTCTATATTTTGAATAGCAAATGTTTATCTATTACGTTCATCTGTTATGTTTTCTTAATTCTGCTATTTTAAGTTTACTACATTTTGCCTTACAAAAAGTTATCTTTATATGGTCAGGTATATTTTGTCTCTAATAATCTTCATTCTTTGAATTGCCTAAGTCTCCCTTTCTTCATATTTAAATGTTTCATATTTAAATGTGCTATCATACTTCCTTTTATATTTTATAAAATAAGTCATATGTTCTTTGATTCAGTTATTACTGCAGTGTAAAATGTGAAATATAGGTTCAAATTTATGACTCTTCATATGAGTATCTAATTAGGCAAAAACCTATGAAATATTACCCATCATTATGTAATTCTTTGCTTAAATGCTCATAAAAGAATAAATATATTTTAAGACCTGAGTATTTGCTCCTGATTTTTATTCCATTGAGTATTTGCTCCTGATTTTTTAAAGTCTAACAACATTTGGAGTTGTTGTATTAAAACATTTGTAAAATTAATAAGCAAGTCTATCATCAATCATCTGTGTGTATCTATGTCTGTCTGTCTATCTCTATCTTCTTCATTCTTCTTGCCTGCTGCTTATGCATTCATATACAAATGGTTTTGAAGGTGTTTACCTTTAAAGTGTCTTAGAATATCTTATGAAAACTAGAATTGGTATTTTATTGCATTTATCAAATAGTTTAAGGTAGTGCAGTTTAATTATATTAACTTCCAAGATAAGATGTTTATCTTTCATTATTTTCAGTCAGAATGAATTGCTCCTTTCTCCATGTTTCCAAAAACCTTACCCATAGTTCTCATTTGCAGCTTCTCATTGACTGCTTGTTGCTTAAGAACAGACTGAAAACAGGGAATGTAGCAACACCAATATTTATGCCCAAATCTGGATATGTTGATGGAATGAAAGGAGAATTTCATTTGTGTGTGTGGCAATATCAAAATTTGCTCCAAGTAAAGATGTTAATAAAGGGAGAATTTTTTTCTTCCTTTTAAAATGCTCTGACTTAGGTAACACGTTTAAGCCAGCAATTTTACCATCAACAAAGTCTTACAAAACAAGGAAAGCAATAAAAACTTTTGCAAAAAAAGGAGACAATAGTTTTTTTTTTTTTTTCAAATAATGAAGCCAAGGTAATACAATAGAGCATTTGCTTTTTAACTTGGGGAACCATAACAAACCTTAAAGTGATGGCATTCCCAACATATTTTAGGGTGATGAAACACTGCATTATGCTTTAGAACTTCTAAGCTTTATTAAGTTCTTATGAACAACTTCATAGCTTGCATTCAAAGTAATTCATCACTCCCAAGGAAATCTTCTGTTAAAACCAATGAAAAAAGTGTTCTAGGATCATATGTTTTTTATTATTCTGTCACACCATAGATTTCCAAAAGTGAATATTTTAGGGAGGAACACAAGATAGTGGCATTTATTCTTCAAGAATACATTGGTGATGTTGAATGCAATTTCATGACTGGCCATTAAATACTCTTATCCAAAGTTTATAAGCTATCAATGTCTGGTATGCTTAGAATTTGCACAATTTGAAACCGTAGCTTTTAAAAAAAAAAAAAACACATAAAATTTAGTTAGTACATAATTTCTAAAATGTACTGCATATTACACTCTATTTTTTAGATTTGTCAAGAATCTTGTACCTAAAAATTGATAATATAGTCTAGTGGTATGAACAGATGTAAATTAAAAAATTATAGTACAGGTTGGGGAAATAATACATACATAAGATCGAAAAATTCTGAGAACAGGAGCAACTAATCAATCCTTAAAAATGAGAAAATACTTTATTTAAAAAAAATATTTATTTGTTTATTTTGAGGGAGGGGAAGAGAAAGGGCATGGTGGGGAGGCAGAGAGAGAGGGAGAGAGAGAATCCCAAGCAGGCTGCATGCTGTCAGCACAGAGTTGATGTGGGGCACGATCTCATGAATTGTGAGATCATGACCTGAGCCAAAATCAAGAGTCGGATGCTTAACAGACTGAGCCACCCAGGTGCCCCAAATAAGAAAATATTTTATTGAGAAGTTACATACATTATGAAAAAAGAGTTTGCTAAAAGAAGTAGAATCTTGGAAAGATTTGGATATGAGAGGGGAGTAAAGGAAGCTCCATGCCAGTAGTACACTAAGTACACTAAGTACACTAAGTGTTTGCAAAGAGAGGCAAAAGATGATGCCAGAAAGGGGTTGGAACAGGACTGGAAACCCATTCATATGATAAGTGCAGAAGTGAGAATTTTATTTCAAATTACCAGAGGCTCTGGTGGCTCAGCGAGGTTTTCAAGTACGAGAGAAATACGACTAGCTTCATTTTGTAGGGAAGGGACTCTGGCAGCAATATAGAGAATGGTCAAGCGTAGAGAGAGAAACAATGGGAAGAAGAGTAGAGTTATAAAAGCACACATAAAAAGGAGACGATAATTATAGCAGAGGAAGCAGGAATGCAGACAAGAAAAGGAATTAGAGAAGCATTTTTTGAAGGAGAATCTGAAGAATTGGATTACTTCTACCTCTAGAAGTAAGAGTTAGTCTGATGAAGATGTCTGAATGATGTGGAGACTAAAAGCAGAAGTGCGTCATGTTGGAGAGGAAGCAGACTCGCTAGGGAAGATGAGAAATCCCATCTTAGAACTTAAAATGTGAGGTAAGTGCAGGGAGTCCAGGTGGGAATATGTGTAATTGAGTTTGGGGTCAGGTGATAGGTCAAAGTTTTCAGGAATAAAAAATGTTTTTTTTTTTTAACATCACGAGAGTAGGTGATCGCTGATGGGCCAAATGAGAAAAGTTGGTATAGGAACCTGGAGAAGATTAATA